TCACGAGGTCAAGGGAGTAGAGATCATCCTGGCCAACATGGTGAAACACTGTCTCTACTAAAAATACAAAAATTAGCTGGGGGTGGTGGCGTGTGCCTGTAGTCCCAGCTGCTCAGAGGCTGGGGCTGGGAGGATCACTTGAACCCGGGAGGCAGAGGCTGCAGTGAGCCGAGATCACGCCACTGTGCTCCAACCTGGTGACAGAGCGAAAACAAAACAAAACAAAACAAACAAGCAACAGAAAAACACGTTTCACTTGTTTAGTATATATCAACGGCAGGTGCTAACGGCAGCCGAAAAATAAATGAACAGTTTGATAAGTCCTATGGGCCATGGAAAAGTCAAGATCTACAAAATGCTCTGCCTTCCGCCGCCCCTTTATTGCTGCAAAATTTCCAGATGACTTGTCAATTTATAACTGATCTTTATTTCAGATAACCTAGAGAGAGTTAGAATTGGGGGAGGGGTTCAGAAACACCATCAGCTGTTTCTGTTAACCTCTTCCATGTCTGAAACTGTACAGAGTACTGAGGCCATCAACACAAATAGTCTGGGCTTAAATCCAGCTTCTACCATCTACAGGTATATAATCCTGAAGAAATAATTTAGCCTCCCTGATACTCAGTTTCTCATATGTGACAATAAAAAGCAACTGATGCTTAGCCTTTGCTTGATCATAACAATGCACAGAAAACACCAGCTCATTGGATATTGGTTCCCTAAAGCCAAGTCATTACCCATGAAGGAAGAACTGGGAGTAAGTCCAGATGTTATTCTGTTCACAGTATCAGAAAAACTTACTCCTGCTTTAGATGACGCTGAGGAGATGCCAGGCAGTGAGACCCGTGTGGCCTACACATGCTTGTGCTATGGAAACTGCCACCAGCAACTCAACATGGGCCCAGGCCCTCTGGCATGGCTGTGAAGCCATCTGTTAGATCATGATCAAAGCCAACAGGATCACTGCATTGGACTCTATCCTGTAGCCAGAAAGTTCATCTACAGTCCATTCTAGCAGGGTTTTCCATTTGTACCTTGTAGTTCAGGTTAAATGGCAGATTGAAGAGCTTGAGTGAAGCCCTAGGGACCTTTAATAAGTTGATGGCTCACTGAATCAACTCCTAGATTCCGTTCAGAGTTGGTTTTCCCTGATGAGCTGATAGGCCCAGGAAGACCCACTGGCATCTCAGCCCTTTCCTACAAACAGGCCAGGCCCACTTTTGGCCTCGAAGGCAACTACACACACAGAGGAAGAGATCCCCTTATCCACACCAGAAGGTATCAGCAGGTCAGAAATGGAATCTGGTAGGCACCTTCAGAACCTCAAATCAACAACAGAGTCATCAGCTTTCTCTACTGAAGGAACAGATACCACTTCAAAAAGAGCCTCTTGAGTGTATCTTTTTAACGAGGCATTAATAAATCCATAGGAATACAAAACGTGGTGGATAGGATTCCTATTTGCCCAAACATCAAAAAGTAGAAAAGCCCGCGGAAATGCAAAAGCAGTCCTGTAGGATCCTCAGCTCCTCAGGATGCTGAAGTACTGAATACTTGTAACCTACAGCTTGGCACTGCATTAGGATTCTCGCTCACTGCCCCTCAACAAAGTGGGTGTGGAATCAGGCGGAATGTTCTAATGTCTGCATCATTGAGGGCATCTGATCCAGCGTCTATGAGTCACGACAGCTGACGTTCTGGCTGTACTAGTAGTAGCCAGTACATCATTACCTTTCTTTAGACTCAATTTTTCTTTCTTTCTTTTAAATAGAGACAGTTACTGCTAAGTTGCCCAGCTGGTTTGATTCCCAGTCTCAAGTGATCATCCTGCCTCGGCCTCCCAAAGTGTTGGGATTACAGGCGTAAGCCACTGTACCTGGCCTCAATTTTTCTTTTCAATCACTGGCAAGAAACATCCTGCCAAGTTTTTCTGATATGTACTTCTTCCATTCCATTCTTTGAAAGAGTGATTTGAGAGCCTCTTTGGAGACCTAACCAAATGCAAGCATGTAAAAGATAAGGTACCCAAAGACTGCTGGAAAGAAACACACTATTAGGTTGGATTATAAGAATAGCCAACATTCAGCCCTTTTTGGAGATACAAAAATGGCAATTTTATACCATTCAACCTAACTTCTACCAAGTAGCTTTCTGAAATGTTTAGAATTGCTGACTATATGATCTCAGAACCAGTTATAGGCCATTGGCAGCTAAGGGAGACATCGAGGCACCAAGCCGATGGGCTTCTGCATCATCAAAAAGACTGACCGGGCACGGTGGCTCACACCTGTAATCCCAGCACTTTGGGAGGCAGAGGCAGGTGGATCACCTGAGGTCAGGAGTTCATACCAGCCTGGCCAACATGGCAAAATCCGTGTCTACTAAAAATGCAAAAATTATCTGGGCGTAGTGGTGGACACCTGTAGTCCCAACTACTCAGGAAGCAGGCAGAAGATCACTTGAGACTAGGAGGTGGAGGTTGCAGTGAGCCAGTGAGCCAAGATCATGCCACTGCACTCCAGTCTGGGTGACAGAGCAAGACTCCATCTAAAAAAACAAATAAACAGTATTCTAGGCCATAAAAAGTCATCTTAATAGATTTGAAAAAAGACTGAAATGTTAGTCTCCTAACCTAATGGAACTAAGTTAGAAATAAACAACAACATGACATCTTTAAAAGTCCTACTGACTTACTTCAGCAACCCACAGGTCAAAAACCACCAAAAAAAAAAAAAAAAAAAAAGGAGAAATTATTTTGAACTGAAAGAAAATACAGCATATCAAAATGTATGAGATGCAGTTAAAGTAGTACTTAGAGGAGAATCCTTACCTTTAATGGCTATGTGTGGAAGTAAGAAAGATCTAAAATCAGTGATCTAAAAATTTCCCACTTTGGAAGCTAGAAAAGGAAGAACAAATTAAAGCCAAATTAAGTAGAAGGAAAGAAATAATAAAGAAAAACTAGTAAGACAGAAACAGACAAATGGAAGAACGAGGCAAACACTAGATTGTATTAACAAAATAGATAAAAATCAATAAAAGTTTAGCCATACTGATTAAGAGACATGAATTATTAATATCAGCAATTAAGAGAGACATCACTTCAAAGCCTACAGACATTGAAAGGCTAATAAAGAATTCTACAAACAACTTCATAGACTTGACAGCTTAGATCACTGGGCAGCAAACTCCTGTGGAGCCAAATCTGAGTTGCTACCTGTTTTAATCTTTCTTCTACTGGAACAATGAGCATCCTCTACATGTTGTCTCTAGTCTTTTGCAATATAACCACAGGGTAGAATAGTTGCCACTGAGATCACATGGTCCACAAAGTTTAAAATATTTACTATCTGACCCTTTATGGAAAAGTTTGCTGACTTTTTAGATTAGATGAAATAGACAATTCTCACAAAACACACAAATGCCAAAACTGTTAAGAAGAAACAAAAATCCGGATACCTCTCTATTAAAAGTATTGGATTTGTAGTTAAGAAACATTCCTACAAAGAACTCCCAGGTCAGGTGGCTCTTTTGGTGATTCTATGAAATACTTAAGAAAACATAATACCAAGCCTACACAAACTCTTTCCAGCAAACAGAAGAGGAAGAACATTCCCCAATTCATTCTATGAGGCCAGTATTACCTCATGCAAATCAGAAAGATATTCCAAGAAAAGATAACTGTGAAGATAAGAAACCAGCCTCTAAAACTCCACACATAAGCTAACCTATCATATTTCTGATGAAAGTTAAAAAACAAAACAAAGCCAAAAAAAAAAAAAAAAACCAACCAGGTTTGTGCCAATATCTACAGAGATGGAGATAAGATGGCTTGGAAGAAATACATCAGTAAAACTGGAGTTCCTGTTCCCCTCCAAGATACACAATATGATATCTTCAAATTCCTATTGCAGAGAATTCCCCCAACCAGCCACAGCTTCTAAGGCTTCTGCCCGTCAGCATTGCTGTAAAACAGAGCACTAAATGTGTGGCCCCTTGGCACTTGCCTCCCTTCTGACCCAACCTAGAATAAAGCTATTGCTGTCTTCAACATCTGCCATGGCAACATGGCACTAATATCACAGGAAAGGCCCCAAGTATCAAACAGACAGGTTTTTATAAAATTCAACCCAGTGGTACGAACTTTCATCCATTCTTTCCAAGCTCACCGTTTAGGCCAGTCACAGTCATGCTCTGTTTGGGGTCTGTTGAGGGTGACAGTCTGCTGGGAAGGAACTGGTTCATATGGTGACTGTGTCCACAGCAAAATGCTTTGGGTTCTGAGAGTGCACCTGGTTTCTTCAAAACTAAGCACTTGCTGAGTACTAATGAAATGGACCCCCACTCTGGCAGCCTTCAAAACTAAAGAGTCCCTTTGAGAGCAACCAAGCAGTACATGGTTATCTTACCTGAGGCAGGAGAGTACCCTATTCTCTGGTTCTATGGTGTTCCTCTATCCTTCCTGTACTGCCTACTAAAGCCTAGGAGGCCCAACAGAGGACTCTACAAAGAGACAGGGAGCTTGACATGGCTGAGGTCTCCTGAGTCTTCCCTCAGAATGAATGAAACCACTGTGTGGATTTCCCAGAGATCATCCCCAGGCAGGCAGTGTGCTGCAGAGATCTCTGAGGGAAGCCCTCTTCAAAACTGACATGCAAGAGACAGGAGGCTGGTATACAACCCTACCCGAAATTTTGTTTTCTTGTTTATTTTTTACCTTCCCCACCTGAATGTGAGCTCAAGGGCAGAGACTTTTCCCTTCTTAGTCACCACCAACCATAACCCAGTTGACTGGGCACAAAGTAAGCATTTGATAAACCCTTGCTACAGGAGTGGCTACGGGTGCCGGCTGATTTTAAGTGCCGAATACCGATGACCTAACGTGTGTTGATTAGAACCTTCACGAAGCGATCTTGCCCAAGGAAGGTTCAGTGTTTACAGAGTAACCTAGCAGAGATGGCTTTTAAAGTCACAATGGCTTTAACAGGAGATAAGTCAACTCACAGCCCCCAAATGTAAGCAGCTGTCATCCTCACACATTTTGTGCAGCTGCTGGTATTCCTCCTGGGCCAGCTCAAACCGCTGTTGCTTAATCTGGTAGATTTCTTTCTTGGCATTGAGAGCCTCCTGGGCTACAATTAAATATTCCTTCAACATGCGCTCTTGCTCACTCCCTCCTGTTCTCTTGGATCCTCAATCTGGGTAAGTTCTGAAATTTAAAAAGGTTAAAACATAAGTGACTTAAAAGTAAAATCCTTAGGTGGACCAACAGTCATGCAGTGATGTCAGTCGTCAATGTGAAAATTAATTCATTACCAGGATGTATATTATGGAAGATTTTTATATCACGAACCTTTCCAAGCGTGAACACTTTCTATTTTATATCCATAGTCGGAGAAGGAAACTCTACAGATATGAAACAGTCCATTGGAGGAGGAAGACAATACAGACGATGTTTTCTATAAAGACCACACTTTTAAATAAGCACGGGAGAGAGATGAACCCGTGAGCTCAGAACTGTGACACTAATTGCTATTTATGACCTTCTCTTCATTGACTCCTTCTGCGTGAGATGATGGAAACTCTTGTGTGTCCCGGACCTGACTGGCCCCCTTCTTTCATTTCCCAGACCAGACTGTGTAGTCTTTTCCCATTCCTCGCCCAAGCTTCCTTGTCCCATCCCACCATAGCTTCCCTCATATTCCTCCTGCTTCCTCCCTGTCCAGCTCTTCAAGGGCCTGTGCCTAACTCCAGCTCCAGCCTCTCTCCCCAGCTCCAACCTTTCATTCCCACCTGCCTCCTGGATGCACCTCCACATGGATGGACCCAAAGTCACTCCTAGCCATTCATCCAATGCAGCCCTCATTCTCCACACCACCTTTCCCCATCAAGAGCAAAACCAAACCAAACACCACACAGCACACGCCTGCTTCTCCTGTCTTCCCCTTGCAGGGAGCCGCATCATCTGGATCCTAACTGCGGAATGACCTGGGGGTACAACCTGGGACTCATCCTCAAGAATCCTCCTCTTCCTCCTGAAACATTCGGTGGGTTATGAAGAACTGGAGGTCCCTGCCCCTGGATATGATAATCATTGGTGACACGCCCTTGTCTCTGTCTCTCCTTACTTCAGTCAGACTCTGGAGACCTTCTGGTCTCATCCTGGCTCCCATCCTCAGAGCACTCTCCAAAGTAGCCTTTCTAACTGGGATGCAATGCTTTCACACAGAAACCTCTTTGAAAGCACAAAGTCGGCTGGGTGCGGTGGCTCAAGCCTGTAATCCTAGCACTTTGGAAGGCCAAGACGGGCGGATTATGAGGTCAGGAGATGGAGCCATCCTGGCTAACACGGTGAAACCCCGTCTCTACTAAAAATACAAAAAAAAACTAGCCAGGCGGGTGGCGGGCGCCTGCTTCCCAGCTACTCCCAGAGGCTAAGGCAGGGAGAATGGCATAAATCCCGGGGCGGAGCTTACAGTGAGCTGAGATCCAGCCACTGCACTCCAGCCTGGGCGACAGAGCGAGACTCTGTCTTAAAAAAAAAAAAGAAAAAAAGAAAAAGAAAGCACAAAGTCCAATCTCCTTAGCCTAATATACGAGTTCCAAAACTCACTCGTCAGCTTCATCTCATTTTCCATCCTTTTTCTCCCAAACATTCTCTACGCAGACTGAACTTCTCTGAAGTACCCAAATATGCTTGGCTGGCTCCCAGTGCATGCCATGCTGACTCAGACCTCTTCTGTCACAGGAAGGCCTGCCGTCTTCCCAGGCAAGCTGCAAAGGCACCTTTTCTAGGCCTTCTCTGATCCTCTAGGCACACATGTCTCTCCCTGCTTATTGGGCTGCCCTTCTTACATAACACTGGGCACACGAGTGTTTTTGTATCTTTTCTGTTTCCCACCTAAACTATAGCCTCTAGATGGCAGGGGCACAGCCTCAGTCACCTTTATACTCTCAGGACCTTTCACTGAGTGCATACAACAGAATGGTCTGTATACACCATATACAAAGGGAATACGATTCCACAAAAGAGAAAAGGAATAAGTTCTGATGCTCACTATGACATGGAAGAACCTCAAAAAACAGCCAAGTGAAAGACGCCAGGCACAAAAGGCTACATAGCATCTGATTCCATGTCTCTGAAATACCCAGAACAGGAGACTGCAGAGACAGAAAGCAGACTAGGGGTCACCAGGGGGCTAGGGGGGAAGGGGAATGGGGAATGACTGCTTAATGGAGATGAGATTTCCCTTTGGGGTGAGGAAAATGTTCTGGAACAAGATAGAGGTGATGTCTGCATAAGACTGTAAATGCACCGTGCTGCCGACTATTCATTTTAAAAACGGTTCATTTTACGTTCTGTGAATTACACCTCAAAATGGTTAAAATGGTAAATTTTACATTATGTCTGTTTGCCACACACACACACACACACACTCTTGCACACACACGGTGTGCTTGCTAGAATGTTTCCAGGTAAGTTCTCCTTCAAATCCCCCAGCGTCTGCTCTCCTGTCAATATCCTTTGCTCATCCCTTCTCACCATCCCAGCGCCCCTCCTAGAAAGCCTCTCTCCAAGCAGTAAAGCTCACAGGAGAAGATTTAAAACCAAAACAAATGCAAAATCAGAGTCTACTCTTGTCTCAGAGATGAGATTCAGTGGGCGTAGGGCATCCATTACTTACCGCATTACAGGAAAAGAATCAAGCCTATTATGAAGCCACGGGCATCTGCCCAGGTCCACAGCAAGGTGGCCCTGTGAAGTGAGCAGCTCTTCACAGGCTGCCCTTTGAACTATCAGCTGGGAAGCCTAGCTCAAACGGCCACATTTACCCAAACATACACAGTCGTGAAGTGCCGGGCTGGCAGAAACCACTGGGGCCTCTCAGCTTCTCTTCTGCCAGGTACTTGCCCTGTCCAGAAACCAGTGGGTCCACCTAGAAGTTCTCCTGCCACCTGGACCTGCCTGGGAGGGCAGTGGGGTCATAACGATAGATATCCCCTGTCTCCAATCACCACTGCCCAGTCTCTGGATAAGAGCTGCAATCAAGCCAGGGCGGGTGCCAGGCACCAAAAACCCCACTGTCAAAGAATCTAGAATAGAGACTCAAATCTCAAATTACCAACAACAACAAATACCAAGAATCAGCTCTGAAGAACACAAATCTACAGTCGGCTTCTGCCGGTGGGGGACATGAGGTCATGGAACTGGCTTGAAAAGGCCTCAAAATCACTCGGGTTGGGGGCACCATGCGCCTTCACACCCTGCAGCCACCTATGCCATGCCACACCAGCCAAAGGACAGAAAGTAAGCCGAGGAAGCCATGCTTCATATCCTAGTAGTAAAATGACAATGACAAACCACTGAGGAAGCAGAATGAAAATGAGAAGAATGAAAAATAGATTCAGCTGGGACCATTGAAGAAAGCGTAGCGAAGAGACAGCCAAGATTAAAGTGCAGAGAACAGATCTAGAACAGGATTCCTACACCTTGGCACCACTGACATTGGGAGTCGTCTCATTGTCTGTTGTAGAGAGCAGGCTGTCCTGTGCGTTGTAGGGTGTTTAGCATCCTGGTCTCCAACCACTGAATGCCAGCAGCACCTCTCCCAGGCACAGTCATTGAAAATGCCTCCAGACAATGCCAAGTGTTCCTGAGGGATAAAATCACCCAGGATGAGAACCACTGCTCTAGATAGTTCTACAAAGGAGGCTGGCATGGCCAAAGACCCATTGTTTTTGCTATGGTCTCTATACCATTTCCTCCCTTCACACACACACACACACACACACACACACACACACACACACACACAGAGAGAGAGAGAAAGATATCACAAGGTTTGGTGTATGGCTAAGATTAAATGTATAAGATGAAATGAAATAAAGCTAATCACTTAGGCACTTATTTCAATAACCTGTCAGCTCCACTCTCTGCAACCAAAATAATTTTTCATTATGAAATCTTCTATTTCCAGACTGGCTGGGAAATTTAGTCCTTGTAATAGTTATTAAAACCCTCCATTAAACATATTATATGTAGTCCCCAGCAAGACACAAGCAAGGTACAGCTACAGAACTGCTTCACTTTGTGAAGAACTGAGCTAATGGAAACTTCGGATTACATTTATAAAACCCAATTTAGGCCGGGCGCGGTGGCTCACGCCTGTAATCCCAGCACTTTGGGAGGCCGAGGCGGGGCGGATCACAAGGTCAGGAGATCGAGACCATGATGAAGCCGTCTCTACTAAAAAAATAGAAAAAAATTAGCCGGGCGCAGTGGCGGCGCCTGTAGTCCCAGCTACTCGGGAGGCTGAGGTAGGAGAATGGCGTGAACCCGGGAGGCGGAGCTTGCAGTGGGCCGAGATTGCGCCACTGCACTCCAGCCTGGGCGACAGAGCGAGACTCCGTCTCAAAAAAAAAAAAAAAAAAAACCCAATTTAATGCTGCATTGGAAGGTAACGATTGTTTCACTCTACAAAAAGTTTTTGGCATCTTTGATATAATGCCACAGATTTTGCACACTACTTACTATTTATGTGGTCCATGTAATAAACTCCAATTTGTTTATCATATACAGTTTCCCATCCTAAAAGAGGAAGTTTCATCCCCAACACCAATCAGCCAAAGTCAATGGCTTTGTTATCCTGCAAAATAAAATTATGAAAACAAATTTGAAAGTCAGGTCAGTTTTGTATAAGTTTGCTTTATCTTATCTAATTGTGCTTTGCTCCAAATATTTGGTTGGAAAATTAATTCGCCAGCTTTGCCTAAATAACTGTATTAGTACACTCGCAATCAGAAGCATTACTATCTCAAAGCGCAACTTTAAATATGAGCAAAAGAGAGATGCTCGGTTACTAACAAAACAGGTAAAACAAACATCTTCTTCCAAGCAGTATGTTTAATGGGGTAGGAGACAATGGGGTAAGCTCTTGCTGAAAAATCAGAGAGCATATATATGTTCTCATTCCCTGAGGAAATGTTCCCTCCACAACTTTCAGTTTCCATACATTACACATGAACATTGGCTTAAATCTATATAAAATGTATTTCCAATATTTTTATCTACCAGTGGTCATGAGTTTAATAACGTCAACCATTGGCCAAATGCAAGAGAGCCAAGCAAGGTAACAATGCAATGAGACCCCCACTAAATACTTCCTGTATTTATTATATAGTAGGAATCCAAGAAATTTCAGAGTCTTT